GTCAAGTGTAATATAAGGGAACACTGATAAGATGCTGGTCACAACTAGTCGGCGGTCGGCGTGTGTTTGAGACGTTGTTCGTTTGCAGCAAAGCAGCAAGCAAGCAGAGTACGTCTCCTTCGTTCTCTGTGTGCACGTGAGTGGGTGGTCGGTGGCGGCGCTTGTTCTCCTTTGAGGGGGGTGCTAGTAGGTGGGGTGTCGTGTGTGTGTGTACATATATATATACATATACATATATATATATGCGGGCGTCTTAAGTGTGTCTCCTCTCTCGCTCTCTCTCTCTCTCTCACGTGTTCGGAGGAAGGTGTGAGTGTAAATGTGTGGCTGGTCAAGCCCCGACAGGGCACCCCTGACGAGAGAGAGCGCTCCGTCTGATAAGACCGCCGCTTAGCTACTGACGGAGAGAACCCAAGAGATACCAGCCTAACCGACTCTCTCTTTCTCTCTCCCTCGCTCTTTCTCTCACGCTCTCACTCGCTCTCGCATACTCTCTTTCTCGCGAGCTAGCCTCCCCACCAGAGAGCCGCTCTCGCTCTTTCTCCGCGGGGGTGGACGGCGAGCCGACAACCCTTATGCCACCTCCACCGTGGGTAGTCTTATCCCCCCTACCTCGACCGTATCTCCCCACCACCCGAGCCACTACCCCTACCAAGTTGCGCGCTCGCTATCACTCTCTCTCTCTCTCTCTTTCTACCCCTACCGGATTTTCCCTCCACCGGACCATTCTTCTCTTGCGCTTCTTCTCCGTCAGTCAAACAACCCCTTCTCTCTTGCTACTAATTCGCTATATGCAGCATCCAAAACTTCCCCACCCTATCTGTGTCTTAAGATAAAAACACGGACAATCGGGTTTTATAAGTTAACCCACTCGAGCGATAAACCCTACCTCCTGATTCTCTCTCTTTCATCGTTCGATCTCTGCCTTTTTGATTCCGCATCGTTCATCTGTTCCATTCAATTCGACGATGAGTTTTTTCGAACCACGAATCGAGCAACTCTCACTTGTTGTTCTTCTTCAAGGAGTTTGCCGATTTCATTTTTTCTCGCGAATTCATATTTATAGCAATGGGGAGGAGGACATTTCAATTTCGTATGAAGAGCGCGGACGTTGAACTTGATTACGGCAATTGATTTTTTTCTGTGAACGATATTCGAAGCTTGTATATGCATCAATCTCTATAACTAATCAACGCGGGGATGAACTGAATGAGTTGGTGGACTACCATGAGAAGAATGGAGTTTTAAACGTTGTAAAACTCTAAATAGATCCTCTCTCTCTCTTTCTCTCTCTCTCTCTCTCTCTATCTCACTCTCTTCAGTCAAATCAGCTTACCAGCTATTTAAATCTACTTGACCGAAAACCCCTTTTTGCCGTTCTAAGCGATGACAAACTTACAGTTCTTTATAATACAAGCAGCTTAATTACTCTTTCCACGCGTGCAAAAAAAGTTGAAAAGCGCTACTTCTTTTGTCGAGCGGAATTCATTATTCAATTAAAATTTACATTATCAATCTGTGCTCACTCTTGGAACATTCAAAAGTAACAAGTTTCTCAAATACTAAAAAGAATCAGCTCTTCTATTCGGTACAAACCTGTCAAAGCATTGTTTTCGGTTAAACTGAATATAAAAGTAAATTCTAAGCAAAACTTTTATCTAAAATAATTTGGTCTATTTAGATAATTTATAAATGGATATTAACTGCAAACGAGAAAAACTAATATCTAATCGACCGCTATATCCAAAAATCTAAAAATGTCCTCATCGCTAACAGGAAAAAAGACTTGAGTGAACACAGCCAAATGCGCATCGCATCGAAAAAATATCCACAAACAGAGAGTAAGCGAGCAAGTGAGAGAGACTATCAGTCGGATACTTTCGATTATATTCATCGCTAGTCTTTGTTTTTCACGTGCCCATCTCTCCGCGCCAGCGTATTCCGCATATCGGTGACTTCGGCGTGTGTCTGACTATGCTCGTTCCTCTCTTGATACACTGTAGTGCTCTACCAACCAACCACCCTCCCCCTCCTCTCCCTAACTTTTCGATATGCGCGGGAGAGAGCCTATATGTGTCGCTTTTATTTTGCGCGTTCGATCTCGCATGTGACGAATTCGTGCAACGTGCTTGTACCCCCCCCCCCCTCTCCGCCATCATACCAACAACCAACATCTGACTAGCCCGATGACCCTCAATCGGATCTGATTAATACGAGCCGGCTTAGATTCTTTTTTTTGTTAGACGGGTTAGGTTCATGAAGATTGTCTTATTATGAATGATTTTGCAAGTTTCAAAGGAATCGACGAAAAAAGTTGCAGAGTTTTGAATGTAAGTTTTCTACTTTTCTACTGGGATTGCAGACCTTGTATTTATGTGCTTGATTTTGAAGTTCTATTCTGAAAAATTGGGATCTAGAACTCGTATAGATTTTGATAGAACAAGATGATTCTTTGTTTTTGGCATGCATAAAATAATTTGGATTATACATCTGTCTATATTTACAGTAATAACAACAAGCAAACGCCAACATACATAGACACATCAAAAGCTTCGTACGGGGCTAAAGCCCATAAAGGCATTCATAAAAATATGGCGGTGAAACTTGGCCGTTAAAATAAGGGAATAAAATTAAATGAAATTTGAATATGCTCAACACCTGTTGGCAAACAAAAAATGGACTAGCTCGTTCTCATTGCAGGTATCATCCAGCGAGCAGCAGAAACGGCAACAAGCAGTTCAAAATGAAAAGATTGAAAAAAGTCTCTCGAAAACTAAACTACGAGTTGAAGCCACTTCAAAGCGGTCGCTTCGCCAACAAAGTGCATGGTTTGAAAAGCATCGGGCACATCATGTGCACACACACGTCCTAATTATCCCTCGCGGGATACACGTCGATCCTTGACTGGCAAAAATAAATTTTTGTCCAATTTAATTCCTACCTACACGTGACAGCCAGACGAGTGTGCGTGCGTGTGTGCGTCTACACGTACGCGTGAAAACAAATTGTGGCATATATACACATTGATACCCCCACCGAAAATCACTGCCCCACCCGACGTATGTGCTCGATACTCATTCATATACTTTTGCGGTGCACGATTCCCCCTTCCAGCTCCAATCGATCGACTCTCTCGTGGCGAGCTCCAATTGTTTATGAGGCGATTCGTTTGCTTATTAGCTGTTTATACGCGCGCTCGCGACCCTGCGGCCATCGATCGTGCAAAACCCAACGCATTTGTAGTCCGCGCGCGACAACCGAGCGGCTCACGCACTCTGCCCATTTAGTGTAATTCTCTTTTGTTGTGCCAGGACTGCGTTTGCTTCATTCGTTGTTTTTTCTTTTACATCGTTGGTTTGACCGGTTTGGTCGGTTTGACAGGCTGCGGGAACTTGGAGCTAGCCGCGGGCCGACTGTGACTATGGATAACTTTCAGTGTGCTGCACTCAATCGGAAGAGACGGTTGTGCCAAGAACACAGGACACTTGGACGTTGTACGAATTGTTCGGCTATTGAAGAGAGTGCTTGAAATTTGGTTTTTTTCGTTCGTAGCGTGCGTTTATCAGTGTTGTCATTACGTTCACTTTATTACATTTCGTTTCTATAGATTGTTTTAAATGTTTGTGCAGTGATATCAATAATTTAGACATTGAAATAGCTTTTAACATAAGCTTTTATGTTGCGTTTACACTCGGATGTTCTTTCCCGTTACGTTCATCACAATTGATATAGCGTTGTTGCAATCTTAATACGCTATATGAGAGAATTAATAAGGTTAATTTAATATCGTTTCGCTAATGTTGCATCGTTGAAAAATATTCAAAGATTATTTATTTGCCCTAAATTATTTTAAATAACTGAAGTTAATAACAGCAACGTTCTTTTCACAAAATAAAATCGATGCAATGGATAATATAAACCGTTAAAGTATAACGTGACGTCGATTCGAAAGTCGAAAAATGTCAGCGAGTACAGAAACACGTCAGCCGTCGGACTATGACCACTCGCCGCAGTAGTACAGCAGGAGAAGCCTACAGCAACACGATCACCTCGTGCATTCCGCCTGACACGCCTGGCGTTTATCTACTTCCAAGGAGTTTAAGTGAGGCGGAAGTCAGACTTGTGCTGTTCAAAGTTATGGAACTTCCATAATTCCATTGTTGATTTCACTGTTGTTTAACTATGTCACACTATAACACTTCACTCTTTCAAAGCTGTCAATATTCAAAGCAAAACGAAAAATGTTTAACATATCATTTCACCATACACCGAGTATTGATTTTCAAGAAGTGAAAAGTGAAACTTCAGAATACACTTATTTCGAATTTTTCTTATCAAGTCTATTTTTGCAAAAACGCACAATAAAGATTTTACTTTCTAGAAAAAGAAAGCGTTTATTTGTGAAATGATCATTATTGAAATACGAAGAAACAATTGAAATGTTTACTTCTTTGCATCATCCACTCATCACTTTTTAAATTATATTCTTTATGGAAGTAGATTACTGAATCGTCAAAATTTTTAAGTATCATTACTTTTAATGTTAAATCAAAGTACTTATTGTTTATTGATCAGATGTTCTGAAATTAATTATGTAATATTATTAAATATGCTCATGAAATTTTAATCATAATTAATTAATTTTTCAATTACGAAATTCCTTAAAAATTAATCAGTCTGATGTAAAATTTATTAGAATGAAGATGAAACCTGCTCTAAGTCATTTTAACGACTCACGGCTACCCAATAACTCGTAAAATTTCACTATGTTTTTACTAATTCAATTCACTGGTTCGTATTCGAATGTCTCTATGCTTACATAAAATATATTCACACTATCACTACAATCACGACTATATAATTCTATTTTGAACCTGACACGGCACACTGATTCAATTCTACTTACAAAAACAGTAGGGATGAACGAAAGAAATTATAATCTTATTAAGCATCTGTCACTATAACAGTGCATTTAGATCATAAAATCATGGCAAACTCACCTTTCTCCATCGGCGAGACGAAACTCGCACCAAGGCAGAAATATCGACGAACCTTTGAAGCTGTGAATAATCGTCCCTTATCGTGCCGAGCCAAACTGCACTTGCTCGTTTGCGTTGATAAGATATCAGAACATAATAAAAAAACTCACTGCTCACGAGTCATGCTTTCACTATGTCTGTGTGCAAGCAAATAGAGCTGTGCTCGGGCTCCACAGTACGTGAGCGGCGGCGCGCACATCAAACGAAAATCTAAGGAAACGGAAAAAGGCCGATGGAGCCCAGCCGGTGGCCAACGAAACTTGCAAGCTCCACTAAGCGACCTTGAAGCCAAACTTAGAAGCAAAAGTAATTTCACACTTGTTCCTTCTTGCTCGTGTACGCCTTGGCGACTGGCGTTGTATGCCAGCCTCCTCTAATATCTTGACAAAACTTGCGTAACATGAAACATAACTCGTCGCCCGATGCGTTGCAATAAAAACTGCATTTGGTTTGAAATGACGTTGGGAATAATTAAAGTTGCAATGAACTGTCGGCGTCTAGTGTTGTGCCGGTGCCCGAAGAACAAATCAAAGATTGTGCACTCTCTGCCGGCTGGCTCTGCCAGTCGATTTGGTAGTATGCGGTCGCGTGGGTCGTTGGCTTTCGGGTGGTAAGCGAGCGAGCGTGGGCGACCTATAGGTCGTCTCGCTGGAACGCTGAGAGAGAGTCGCCGCGTCCGAGAGAGCGCGTGAACTTGCGGGCTTGCGGGCGCGCAACTGGCGGCGGAGGTGTGCAGGCGCCGCCGGCAGCCGCGTAGGCGGAGAGCGAGACAGAGAGAGAGAGAGAGAGAGAGAGACGTGGAGAGAAGATCGCGGATGCTGCCGCCGCCGCTGCCGCCACTCGTCGCTGTAAAAGCGGTAGTAGCAGCCAAAGCGAGCACGCGTGGAGCGCGCGCAGACCCGTACAGTGGCGCCTCCAGCACACCGAGCGCGCAAGCTCTCCGCCTGTGAGCTGTGTGTCCGACGAGGAGAGAAAGCGGACGGCCGCGCATAGCAAGCTTACATGCGAAAGTGGCGGGGGCTGCCGCCGACACTGCTCAGCACGCTGACCGGACCAGCTAAGAAAGGGTCTGAGAGAGCAGCGAAGTGGGGTTTCGCCTCCTCGAGCTAGCCTGGCGTGTACGTGCACGTGTAAGCCAGTGTGCGGCTTTCGATGAGCAAGGGGTGGCACGTGTACGTACACGTGCCAACCCTAACTCGCTGCGCTGGTAAAGAGATCCCGAGGAAACAGCCACGACGTTTTTGGGAGTGCTGCTTCCGTCGCTGGTGTAAGTGGTGGTGGCAGCATGCGTCCTACTACTCTAGCTGTTACCTGTTTGTTGCCGAAGGGCATCCGCGGCGACGCCTGAGTGGGAGAGAGACGGAGAAAGACGTGACCAGCGATAAGAACTATTCTACCCCTTCGCCCTACCATCCTCTCTTACTTTTATTCCTTTTTTTCGTGGCTGAGGAGCTGCGATCCTCTTTTGCTTTTTTTGCGGCCTTTGAACGATCTACCTTCGAGTTTCAAGGCTAAACCCTGACTCACTTTCCCTCGTTAGAAAAAAAGTATCAAGCATTTTTACGCGGAAAACCGATTAAACTGCATGGATGTTGGTATTAGGATTAGAAATGAAACCTAAGTTGTTTTGTACAAAAATTAAATGTTACATATTATTTGAAATTCGCGGATGACAAAGCTACACTTACTCCAAAGCTCGCCACATTATTTCGAATGCATCTCGGTTTTTCTATGACAAAATAATCCTCTTATCTCTTCGCAAAAACTGAGTTCTACAGAGACAGCACGAGAAATCACATAATGCAAAGAAAGCAAACGAGAAAAATTTTCAACCTTCCACCTATTAATCTCAGCAAGTTTCGCATCAAAAAACCCTCGCACATATGATTCATTCACAAAAAGCCACGGCCTTAATCATTCATTTCCGCTTTTTCTTGACCCCCAAGCACACAAAAAAGAATCACCGCGGACGAAAAAGGAAAAAGCCATCTATCCTCACCCACACGCATATGTATGCGCGCTTTACTCCGATCATGCGCAAAGGTCGCGGAGAATGGGTTGTCGTTTTGCTCTCGTGCGCCGACGTAAGAACACGATGTAGGGGGTAAAGATTGGTGGGCGGCGGGGGAAATTTTAGCGCTCGCATGTGGTAGTGAAGGGGCTAGCGGTGAATTTGTGTTGGTGACCCCGAAGAAAAATCACCGCTTACTGGTGGTGGTATATCTGAAGAGTATGCGCGCTACTACTACTACCCCGCGCAAAAGGGGTAACGATGCAAAAGGGTTGCCGGACAGTGGCGAGCTCGCTGCTTAGGTGGCCAATTGACGAACTAGACTCCAGATTCCTTGACCATACGACTGCAGTGAATATTCGGCTTCAGCGCTTCAATTTTATTTTTTTATTTTTTATTATTTATAAATAATTAGCAACACATTCATGCTTACAAATTCCTTATTCGTTTCAAAGTTTTAGGACTTGTATAAAATCTTTGAAATAAATTTTAATATAGATTCTACCAAATTTTATCGATAGAAAAATGAACAATAGCACACGGTACTTGCAAGCTTCAATTCTTTATTGGGTAGAATATTAATAGTGTAAGAGCGTTAAATACAAAAAATGGCCATATACAATTTTTCGGATAGTACAATAAAAAATTTTAAAATGGATTCACAAATTTTCACAGAAAACAGAGGTGGAGGCAGAACCATATCTCTCTAAAAATAAAGAAATAGACCGGATTGATCATGCATGTTGTGAATTTTTCTCTAGAAAAATCATATCAGTTTCGAATTCATATTCTGGATTTATTTCAACTTCCTATTTGACTCTATCCATCGAATTTTTGAGTACTTGCAGTATTATGACTTGACAATACAATCTTTCCTACAATTTCATATTTAATCGTCCATTATTTTTCTAATTCATATACACAATTGTGTTCCTTATTTTCTTTTTTCGTATCACTTTGTTTGCTATACTCCGACATAATATTTTCAACTTAATAAGAAGCTTTCGCTTTAAACAACAAAATATCGTCAGATCGTACCAGCTATCAAGAAAAGACTGCTAAATACGTCTTCAAGATCGTGCTGCACCCTTCAGCCAGAAAATTCAAGCAGCCTTTCTTAGCACGCGCAACCTTTCGAGAGAGAAACAGAAGCCACCTTATATCCACCTCTGTAGGTTGTGCTCTGCTGACTGTATAATCGTCTCTCGATCGACTGTACCTTCCGACACTGCTATTTTTATCCCCGCCTTCGTACTTTTTAAGGTCACTTGTTGCTTTTTAATCTGCTCGCTCGGGCTCTTTGCTCCTTTCTCTCTCCCCTCTCTCTCTCTCTCTCTCTCTCTCTTTCTCTCTCTCTCGCGCGCGCGCGAGCTCGTTGCCTTTTCTTTCAAGCTGTGTGTGCTCTGTGGCACTCATGTGAAAGAACGAGTAGCATCCTTTTTTATACTGTTCGCACGCGACCCTAAACCGAGCTCGTATGTTTTATCGTTTTACTATCCTCCAGAGACGCGGTAATTAAATGGCAGCAGAATGATTTACTAGTATGATTATTGTAGATAGATTTTATATAGATTTTCAAGATTTGTTTACTTATAATATCGAATATTTTATTAACTAATAAATAAATACACTCTAATTTAACAATGCACATGTATGGCCAAGCCTTTTCAAAATAAATTGTATTTACCCTATTTTATTTGGCTCTGAAACTAAAAATTGAGCTTTCCGAATAATTAAAAGAGATGATCGTTTGAAAAAATGAATTGTAATATATCAGATACATATATTACAGTACAATAAAAATAGCATTGTGAATATTCAAATATAGTATTTATTAAAATATCTGCCAATAGTAAATAAAGAAAAATTTGGAAAAATTTTGCAATGGTAAAAAAGTATAAAAATATTGATATACAATCTAATTTAGATTTCGGTATAGTAAGCGAATGATGAGCCTTCAGATTACATATTACAGCTCACATTCGCACGAGTACACACCGCTCCAATACAGTCGATCGACGGGTATCCCTCTGCCCCCTCCCTTTCTCCCAAAGTCCATACACATTTTTATTCGCAGATTTTAAGGTCACTTGTTGCTTGTTTAGTTATGTCGACGAGCGCTTGCACGTATATGCCTTGCGCGCGCACATACACACAAAGACAGCACAGCACAGTGGCAGTCGCACGCACATATATCGGCCAGAGCACACCACGCGGAGAGAGAGAGAGAGAGAGAGAGAGAGAGAGAGAGAGAGAGAGAGAGAGAGAGAGCGAGAGAGCACATTGGACCGATAGGTGAACGCCCTGTCGATTTCATTTCTACCACCACCAGCGCGTCACTTTTTTTCGCGCCCTTCGCTTGCTCTCGCGCAGATTTCGCGTTGTGGCTTTTTTCATGCTCCTTTTCTTTCTTTTTTCATTTGCTTGTTCAGCTCTTTCTTTTTGGCTTTTTGCATTTTTGTGTTTTTGTTTTAGTTGTCGTTTTTAAGCTTTCGCTGACCCTGCACCGAATATGTTATCCCTTTTTTGAAACGCGTTGTGCGTGAGCATTGTTTGTTTGTCTCGCAATGTGCCTTTCTAATTTACTTAGAGCTTTCACTTTCTTGTTACTTATTCTATTACTGTCTTCATCTTAAGACGTTTTATGACGTGATTTCCTTTTCACAGCAGTTTTTACATATGTATAATTTTCTATTAAATGCGTTTATTATTCAAATTACAACAGGTTAACAATCTTTAATCATGTTTATGTACTAATATATCAAATGCTACAAATTTTTATTTAATTTTCAACGGATAACGAATAATTATGGAAAACTTGATAAAATTTTCATTTTTCTAAATCTGATTCAGTTCCAATTAAATACTAAAGATTTGATTCAATTTCAATTAACATACAATCATATTTTATAATTTATCTTGATTCAATGAGCGCATTTATCCAGATAGACAACAATTATAGCACAAGATACTCGCGTGAATTTGAATTGTGAATTTTCAGATTCATAAAATTTCTCTTCTTCACGCATAATGAACAGGTATTTCTTTTCTAAAATTTCTCATAAATATAACGCGTATTTGGCTGTTTATAAATGCTCCTAATGGATCGTAACGAAGTTTTAGCAGCTATTTGACTTGTTCATCAAGTTTACATCGCGGTGTGGTAGTGGCTTGACGCTCAGTGTACACAGGCGCAAAAAAAAAGATTTTTATTGCATAGTATGTATGTTTGACAGACGCATTGTATATACACGAGCGTACTAGGTGCGTGAGCGCGCGTATAACCCTTAGAAATAAAAATGAAAACAGAATGCGCGATAGTACACAGACGCTGTATCGATGGGGTATCTGTAAATAATTCGCGCATAGGTGGGCAGAACCTCGAGTGCTCGTGAACACGCGTTAAGACTCCACAAACTCGCGCTTTAAATATAGTATTATAAATAAATCAAACCGTATATGAAAATAGTTCCCAATTTTTCAGTTTTTTTAGGAAGAATTCGCTTTGAAAAGATATGAGCTGATTACGATGCGCTTGATAGTTGATTCGGAAGGAAACTGATACTAACAGGCTTACACTAGAATTCAAATCAATCCAAATGCATAACGGCTATATCTCATGCAATGAACGCATTTAAGGACGTGTTATGCCAGATCTCTATATATATATCCCTTGATCTAT